GCGAGGCCGACGTGGGCGTGGCGGACGGCGCCGCCGACAGGAAGGTGGCGAAGTAGAGCCCGGAGCCCTCGCGCACGGGGCTGAGGATGGGCGGCGGCGTGTAGGGCGGCACGGCCAGCGGGTTGTCGGCCAGGCGGACGGGCGAGCGCAGGTGGCTCTGGTACGGCGTGACGGCCGAGTAGACGGCGGCCGGCGCCATGAAGGCGCCGGGCTTGGGCGGCGGGATGAAGAGGGGCTCGGGCCGGGGGCGCCGCTTCAGCTTTTTCACGTCGTCGTCCGCCCGCGCGTCCTCGCCGTTCTGCCGGGCAGCAAAAACGCGTGACTGACAACGATATAAATACAGAAATAATAAAGAGCCAGTTCAACGGTTAAATTCGACCAAATTTATCGTGACCGTCGTCCAGCAGGTGCCGGACGATTAACGTTTTTTTTCTTTTGCTATGGTCAAGATTGTTCCACTTGGATGACAAAAAAAAAAACAAACAAAAAAAAAAACCCCGCATGACTTTTTAAACTAAGGTTTAGTAAAATGTCTAAGATAAAAATGAGACATTTTACTAAACCTTATTTTCAATTTCCTGACGGTTATTTTTAGTGCTGTTCTAGCTAATAATTGACTCATTTCATTTCTATTTGATCTATTTTTACTTGAAGTCAAGCTTATTTTTTCCACTTCCTAAAAATATGAATGTCGAGTTGCATCTATTGTCACATGAACTTTGTGAGCTTATTTTTAACTAAATTCATTTCTAGTTATGCTCGGCGGCCAAGTGGTTACCACGTTGACCTCAGAGTGCAGAGGTCGTGGGTTTGATTCCGGCTCCGGCCTCCCTGTGTGGAGTTGGCATGTTTTCCCCGTCCCTGGGTGGGTTTTCTCCGGGTACTCCGGTTTCATCCCACATTGCAAAAACATGCACGGGAGTCTGATTGAAAGCTCGAAATTTTCCCGAGGTGAGAGTGTGAGCGCGGATGGTCGTTCGTCTCTGTGTGCCCTGCGATTGGCTGGCAACCGGTTCAGGGTGTCCCCCCGCCTACGTACACGCTGTGTCATTTCTATCAAAATATCTCTCAAGGCAACGTTTGAAAAACAACTGAGCCCAAACTGTCAAACGCCGGCAGCCTCACGTCCGACCGAACGAACGCTGACATCAATGAGTAAACAACAACAACAAAAAAAAAAAAACGGTTACCTGCTCCGAGCCCTCGTTCAGCGAGTTCCTCAGCGAGCGGCGGCGCGTGACGATGACCGACGGCTTGCGCTCCGCGCCGGCGGTCTCCGGCGGG